TGTACTAGACCAGACTAGACGTTCGCGGTGCCACGGTTTATAACATTGTTAAATTTCTTCTGATTTTAATTTGTAAGTAACAATTTATTATTTTTATTAATCATGAATTGCAAAAGGGCAACAGAAAAATAAAAAAAATGACTAGAATCACAACGGAACTGAAAAAAGAGATTGTTGAGAAATATGAAGGTGGCATGCGTGTTCGAGATTTAACTGTTGCATTCCATATTCCGAGAATGACGATATCAACAATCGTGAAAAATAAAGACATTATTAAATTTGCTAACGTTGCGAAAGGGGTTAAATCAATTTCTAAACAGAGATCGAAGACATTAGATCATGTCGAGAAATTGTTTTTGCTTTGGATAACTGAAAAACAGTGTGCCAAAGACAGCATATCGGAAGAAATTATTTGCGAGAAAGTTAAAAGGATACGTGCTGATTTCATGAAAAATCAAGCAGAAACTAGCGAGGAAAGCGAGGTGTTTAAAGCCAGCCATTTTTTTTTACATGAGAATGGATTAATCATTTTTACATTACTTCTTATGGAAAAGGTTGGTTTGGTATACGTCCTATTCGGTATAAGTCCAAACACCAGGAATGGATTAAGGTTGTATACCGAGGTTCCACTACAGGAAACAAGACATACTATCTTGGAACCACTACCGAGGTTCCAAGACAGTATGACACTCTTCAACTAAGACAGACATGACTTCCTTGAAGTTTTGTTTTAACATTAGCCTGTATTTTTCAGCACATTTTGTTCTTATTTGTACTAAACATTCTGATATATGGAAGTAAACATATACTAGTATAAATTTGCTTCATTCTGTGAAAAACTTTGAAATGATGAAAAATATACATAACATTTCTAAATTGCATAGCAAAATTTATGAAAAAAAAAAAAAAAGCACACAGACTAGCTTAAAAATTGCCATCAATTTACAGATCTGTGTAATTAAGACAGGAATTACAATTCTGAATGTAATTTCATAATGCTGAGCTGTTTGTGTGTATATATATATAAAAATCATTGTTAGATTTAAGAGGTTATAGAGTTTTTATATATAAACTCTATAACCTCTTACATATAAACCTATAACCTATAAAATCTAACAAATTATTCTTTTTTCCTCCAAATAAATTCCTCCTTCTAGTTATAAAGTAATTGGAAAGAGATGTTTTTCTGTGTAATAGCAGTGAATATCATTTGATTCACAGTAGTTTTATGAATAATGTTTAAAAAATTTTTCAGACAAATAATCATTAATTTTAACCTAATTTAAAAAATATATATACTTCAATCAAAATTTTAGTTTAGAAAGAAAATCCCATACCTGAGTTTCAATTTCTTCTATAATTACTTCCATAGTTAATTCTTCTAATGGAGAAAGGCCTAAAAATATATATTATATTAAATAAAATCAAAATAAAAAATTTGTTGGCTCATTTCATTGGAAAATTAACATCTAATTATGTTAATTTTCTGTTAAAAGATTATCTTGTTAATTATTATATTAAATCAACCTTTAGAAAACAGGAAAATATATATAACAAAATTTGAATTTAAAATAAATGTAAACTAATTTGATTAAAAGAATTCATTTTATTCAAAATAAAAAAAAAAGGTCATTTCTCTTATAACATGATAAATAATCCTAAAAACTGTCACATTTTGGAATTCCATGCAATAAAGAAAAGATAGTTTATGGGAAAAATAGAGTGAAGAGTAGGGCATTCAAAACCTGTAAAGTTTCATAAATAAGGATCAGTTTATATGAATTTAAAATTAAAATATATGTGCTTACTTATGAATACAAAAATGCCAGATATATGTACATTAGAATGCCTGAAATATGCATTATGCATGTTAAAAATACACTAATATATACTAAAATTTGTAGATTGAAATCTGCACTTACTTTACTTTTATCTGCAAGCAAATTTTACTAACATCTATTATGCCACTTTTTTTTAGGTGTGATGGGATAAGCATGCAACAATAGGTGATACAAGGAATTTGAAAATTATCAAATCATAAAACATGTGGTACATCAAAATAATGTTTGACATATAGATATGCAATCAAGTCAATTACGAATAAAATTACATGTTCAATAAAATTATAACCAAATTTTATTAAATTTATTTTTTATATACAATTGTAATGAAGATGTTTGAGGATGACTGAATTAAACTAGTTTTCCTCATTCTATGGTTATGTCACTGGTCTAAAGTATAAAGTAGTCATATATATTTGTTTATAGCCCAGTACAAATGAGGTATGGGTAAAACTCTTATTAAGATATTAACTAATTACAGATTTATTGCAAAAGTTGAGAGTAATGTTTCATTTCCAACTTATATCAAGAACTATACTATGGCTAGTCTCAGTGTATCTAGAAATGTGATCGATTTCTGTTTTGGCTCATTTTGACACTTATGTTGTGCTGCTATAAGAATGTTTCAATGTGCTGAAATACTTCAAAACTGTTTTTTCAGTAGGAAATGATTTGTGGTATGCATTAGAATAAATAATTTTTCAATCTGTTTTAATGCCGTGCATCTAACTCTTGTCATACATACTTTTATGAGTAAACAGTATTAATTTTTGCCATTTTACTCATATTTTTGATTAAACCAAACTTGATATAATGAAATATTTTCTGCCTCATGCTCCATAAGCAGAAATTTGACTAATTTATTCAGAAGAAATGATCTAACTTATATGTACACAATTTCTTGAGATTTAAATGTAACATTCTAAATTAATAAATATAAAATTTACAACAGTTTTAATCCAATTGGATTAAAACTATTGTAAATTTTGTATTTATTAAAAACTATTGAGAATTTAAAAAATGAGAAATTTTCGTTGCAAAGCAAAAGGTATTCATTTGTGAAACTTCAATGAATGTGAGCTAAAGATTCAAATTTAAAAGTTTGAAATCCTTTTTATCTTTCCCAAAAAAAGGCAGTAGAGATTTTGGGGAAAGCTTGTAAAAATATATATCCCTTGCCCTACTTCCATTATCAATATTATGGCCTACTTGCAGTTGAAAAAGTTTGTTTATTTAATGGGATTAGCAGGTATGGCTTATTCAAATGCAAGGCTCAGAAGTGAAAGAATGCAAATTAACCTGAATAAAACAGAAAATTAAGATTCCACTTGTAGACAAATAACTAAAATCATCTCCACAGAATGACAAACTATATTTGAAGAATGACTTTAAAAATTTTCAGAAAAATGAAGATCATGTCACATGACATATGGACACATCTTTGATAATATTAGGGCAGAATTAGATAGGCTTCTGATTCAAGAACAAGCAATAAAATGAAATTTATTGAAAGCAATAAGAACAAAGTAACACAGTACTTTCTTGAAGTGTAATCACATATACTTCAAGAACCCAGGAAACTGCCATTGCTGAATGGTAGAGAATGGATCTGACACTAGTTATATGAACTGACTGACAGAATGCCATGAGAAATGTCAGCATTGATAAACATCAAGGGTGATGTGACAGAGTACTGAGATCAAACACTGTAGGCACTAGTCTAAATGTACCATTTTGATATAATGTCTCATTTTTACAAGCTTTTGTTTTTGTGGCAATAAAGTCTGTTAATTGTCATTACCTGAGGCTCTACTTTTAAAACATAATGTCATTTTTAAAGCATCTTTTCACTGCCTTCCAAAATTAAATGATGCAAAACTTTTTGTGTGTGTATAAATGAATGGTTTGCCAAATGAACACTATCTAGTATATATTTGATGTAACTGCTTTCATAACTAAAAATCATTATTAGAGATGTTATAAAATTATGAATTTATGTAAGTGAAAAATCACATAACACAGAGAATAACTGCATTAAAATCTTAAAATATATGACTTAATTTACTTACCAATAATTTTTAATTCTTCATTCATTATGTTCAACCACTCAATGTCAACAACATCCAAATCATAGGAGCAAACTTTGTCAACAAGAAAAGTAGCATTGCTTAAAACATGAATATCTGGTATAAAATTTTTGTCCTGAGTACATTTAATGAATTTCTTTGGTCTATCAAAAAATATATAAAATATGTTNACTAGAGTAAAGATTTGTAACTTTCGCATATTGAAGCAGATAAGAAGCCCTTAAATAAAGGTCAACTCCATTATAAGACTTATTTCCCAAGGTGTAAGAAAACAACTAAAAGAAGACATTTTTAATGTATAGTCTTTTATTTTGTGAAAATATGTTTTTATTAATATTTTTATAATATGTAGTGCAAAATAATTAAAATAAACTATAAAAATGTATTAAATTTTTGTTTTAAATATTAAGAAAAATAATCTGACAGCAAATTGTAATCTATTGCTGTATTCAATTACTATTATTATTATCATCACTAAGTGTAGTTAAATTTTTGAAGATTTATGATTTGTCAATATTACATGCACACACATGAAACACTAACTTCTACACAGTATAACAGATTTTTTATGGAAATACAAAGAATTTATTATAAAGAAAATTCATTAAATGGAAAATTCACTAGTACTAAATACAAAAAAAGTGTATTTCCAACATTCTACAAAAAACTGGTTGAGAAGAGAAAACATTATAGCAGTCCAACTATATAAATAATAATAATAATAATAATAATAATAAACTGTTTCTTGTCAATCAATAAAAACAGAGCCCGGTTTTAATAAACTTCATACATTCATTTATAATAGAAACATTTTAATAAACAGAACAATAATTTTTAAGATTAACGTTCAACACAAAATCTGTCATTAAAATTACAACTTACAAAAACTCATTTCTTAAGACAAAAGAGAATGAATGAAAATAATTTTCAGAAAAACCTTTTCAATGAGAAAATTAAACAATACAGATTAGACTTTTATAGCTGAAAATAAACAAACTACTGCATATATTACAATTTTAGCCTGACATTTTTAAATATTCTTTCAATGTTAATATAATATTAATAGATATTTAATTAAAAAATCTATTATAAGAACAATAAAGAAAAAAAGAATAAAGTTATTCCAAATTTATTTGAAACATTATACACTCTCAATAAAATAGAGAATGAATAAATAAAAATAAATATGTCTGTATATAAAGGATGATTCAAATTAAAGCATTCCTATTCAGAATAATTTACAGAGAAAACCTGTGGGTGAAATACCACCACAGCCACCATACTTTGTATGTATACTTTCCAAACCAAATGGAAGAAATTTTGACAATAAAAAAAATGCAAATATTAACTGATAAGGAAAATATATAATGTCAAAGACAGGAAAAGCAGAGTAAATTGGAAGATTATTTAATTGGGAAATGAACCATACTAAATGGTATAAGAAGATTGATGGCAATTGATGGATTTTATTGTGTTCATTCCATACATTAATACAGTACATTCATAAAAATGGACAGATAGCATAATGAGCTGACACAGGCTCCAAGAAGCTCAAACTAACAAATTATGCATTGCACTGTACATTTTGGTGAACCTTCCCACAATGTCTTGTGGTACCAATACTTGTGAAGTACAGTAGCAGTGTTTTCACCATTCTCATAAAATAACTATCTTTGCCTCAAATCATTTTGCCTGAATCTTTTTTATAAGAATAATAGATTCAGGCAAAATGAAACCATTGCACTCATAAAACTAGTACAACCAGTCTTACACCTTTTTTTCTTCCAGGTATTCATAGTGCATAAACCATTATACTATAGAAAAAGGTATGGTATTTGCACAGTTACTAAAGAGAAAATATGGAAACCATTTGCAATATCATATTTTTTCTATCAGTGAATACTTGAACTATTTTTTAATTTGTAGTTTTTTCGTTGTATGCATCTTATTGTAGTTAAGTATTTGAAGACAAAGTCCACCCAAATAGGGATCACCATTTATTAATTTCATGTTCCAGACTGTATAATCTCAGTGACCGACCTTCCTTTTGGCGGCTAGTAACCTTTTTAGGCTACTAGCCGCCAAAATGCTAGTAGCCTTAAAACGAAGGTCAGTCACCAAGACTGTACAGTCTGGAACATGAAATTAATAAATGGTGGTCTCTATTTGGGCAGACTTTGTCTTCAAATACTTAAGTATTTTTTAACTGTTAAAGTCTTTTCCATGATCTGAAAAATAAACATACCAAATATGATAACATTTCATCTATTGGTCCTCTCTTTAAATTGCTACAAATAGAATTACAGTGGCACCTCAGTATACGTCTGCTTTAGAATACGTCCAATTCAGAATACGTCCTGTTTGGATGAAACAAATTTTGCTTGGTATACGACTTTTGTTCAGTATACAACGTAATTCAATTATACGTGCCATCTATGAACAAGTTGCACTATAGGTGTATTAGACCAGACTAGACGTTCGCGGTGCCACGGTTTATTACTTTATTAAATTTCTTCTGATTTTAATTTGTAAGTAAAATTTTATTATTTTTATTAACCATGAATTGCAAAAAGGCATCAGAAAAATAAAAAATGACTAGAATCACAATGGAAATGAAAAAAAAGATTGTTGAGAAATATGAAGATGGCATGCGTGTTCGAGATTTAACTGTTGCATACCATATTCCGAGAACAACGATATCAACAATTGTGAAAAATAAAGACATTATTAAATTTGCTAACGTTGCGAAAGGGGTTAAATCAATTTCTAAACAGAGATTGAAGACATTAGATCATGTTGAGAAATTGCTTTTGCTTTGCATAACTGAAAAACAGTGTTCTGGCGACAGCGTATCAAAAGCTATTATTTGCAAGAAAGCTAAAAAGATACATGCTGATCTCATGAAAAATCAAGCAGGAACTAGCCAGGAAACCGAGGTGTATAAAGCCAGCCATTTTTTTTACATGAGAACGGATTAATCATTTTTCATTACTTCTTATGAGAAAGATTGGTTTGGTATATGTCCTATTTGATATAAGTCCAAACACCAGGAACGGATTAAGGTCGTATACAGAGATTCCACTGTAGTTTAATTTGAATTACTCTATATTTTACCCGTAAAAGGGACAGATAATTAATGTCAATATTTAAAAATCAAAATTAATATTAAAAAGTAAATTAACATTTTATTTTTCTTAAAGTCAGTACAAATAGGCTATAAATCAAAACAACAATAAAATGTTTTATTAGTATTGAATTATTCTATAAATTTCAAAACTTTGGCATTTATTTAAATTGTTGAAATTTAACATAAACTTTAAATTTATATTAGCAGTATTTACATTTGTTTTTAAATCAATATAACTGAGAAACTATAAATAAATAAAACAGTACTTACAATCTAAAATCAGACTTTTTCTTTTCATTTATTATCCTAAAAAAACAATCAATAAAAATATTTTATTAATTTATATACTATTTAGTATTATTAAAGAAAGAAATTAACATTTTTCTGCTATCAAATATTTATTACTGTTTATTAAAAATTATTACAATAGTAAAATGGAAATAATACTAACAATATGAAATGCTAAAACTCTTATTACTCTTTAGTACTTCACATAATGTTTGAAAGTTTATTTCATTAGTATAGATTAGTCAGGAGAAATCCTGGCCACCAAATATGCCTGCCCTGGTCTATAGTGTGTGAGGTCTTAATATGTGGCCCCTGGGACTTTGGAAATGTAATTTTATTTCTTGTTTTATATTTCATGTCATTATGCAACCATAATTAAGCTGATATTCATGACAAAGAAATTAAACTGGACTAGTGAAAAAGATAATGCACTGGTTGTTGTCGAATATGTTGATAGCAAACTTAAAGCCTGCAACTCTATAAAAATGTATGCAGCCCACTGGAAGCTTACAAAGTTCCCATTTGGCCCTCATCTAGAAAAGGCTGCTCATCACTTTTACAGATTACTATTACTGAATTCATCTATACTTATTTTTTTTTAAATAGATTTTGATGACTACATTTTATCACACAAATTAATATATTGAATTTATATAATTAATCTAAATTAATAGCATATGTATGTATAATAGTATGTTTTATTACGTTTGTATCAATTGCTACAACAGTTTAGGAAAAGTGTTTCATCTTAATTCCAGATAAATGTTCAACCTATCAAAAATGAAATTAGCTATAGTTTATAGACAATAATTTAGAAATTAAATCATTATGGCAGACTTTTTATTATATAAATACAGAAAACCTACTGGTGTACTGCATTTATATAGCTATAGTTTACTTTCAAAGCAAATTTCAGATTTTTATTTCCTTCTTCAATTACTGCAACATATACAAATGCTTTTTTGATGCAGCAAATTAAAAAATATGTATATATAGAAAGTGGCAGGAAATCTTTATTTGTATTACTAGAATTAAAATTTTCATAAAAATATATTTTGCCAATATGTAAGATATTATATTATTATTACTCTAAAACATTGGCCTTAGGCTACCCTCATGTATAAACTGCAAAAGTGAAAAAAGAAAAGAATGTTGCCTTTTTTCATGAATAGGTTGCTCTTGTATATAAACCATGGCCCATATGAGTGTCTTACCCACAAAAACAGTCAACATCCATCAAGGTTTTAGGATACAGTTCCAAAATAAAAACCAATAGGAAAAGAACAGCATCAGGAATAACATTATTTATGTAAATCTCACTGTGCTATGTACTAGAGTTAATCATATGCTATTTTGTTGATCATTTTAACAATTTTCATAAATGCTTTAAAATTATTATCATCAGTATATCACAGAGAAATAAAATGTGATCAAAACATGCACTTAATTTTCTCTCTTATCAGTTAGACAGATCAGTTTTCAAAACAAAAACGTGGCATTTGGTGATTATTGGCTATTTGTGAAGTGCTTTTGACAACTGATGATTGAAAATATCTGGCAACTCATCTTACACATGTGTAGTTGCTCATTGCAATACATAGGTTTTGCATGTGAGATGAGATGACTTGTCACGATTACACAGCATTACAAAAAAATTCAGCACTTTTGTGGATCAAAAAATGTTTTTCTTTTTTTTTTATGTTTTTGGATGTTTTTTAGGTCCACAAATTTTTTCAGAAGTTTTTACCTGTGTGAAAAAATTTTATAGCAATTTTAATAAACCTTTAATGACATGCAATTAATGCTTAATTGTTTTTTAATGAGAATTTTTTATGAAATTAATTTCATTGTTCTAAAGTTCTAATGCACAGATTTGACTGATAAAGTTTTTTAAAGCTATTTTCTGATGTCAAAAATGACATTCATTAGTTTTTTATTTTTTTTTAATTAATAGATTTTTTAATATATAATTTAATTGAATAGGGGAATGAAAATCTAATAAAAGTTAGAATTTTTGCAAAATATTTAGAAGTATATGGCCAGCTAGTATTCACCCACTTTAGATCATTCTTACCCTCAGGCATATAGGTAAACATCCTGGGAAAGATGACACCAGCTGTTCTCAAGGTCACCCAGTTGTAAACAAACTGAGACAGTGGTTTCAGGTTTTGCATGAACATGAGACAAAGGACGATAAACTACGAAGCTTTAACTTCGGAACTAACACAATTATAATGTTCTTTTTAAGTTTAATTAAACTTATATAAAAAAAATAATGGGTGCTGAGCAATTAATATTGTAAATTATACATCAAATAATTTGTAGAGAGAAAAAACTTTTTTGGTCAGTATGAAATACTTACCTGACAGTTGGTTCAGCCAGAGCATCAGGATTAACTGGAACTTGTACACCTTTCTCCCATTCTTGTTTCCATGAATCCGTAATTATCCAATACTCTTCAGGATTAAGTTGTTCTGTATCAGGCAATTTCATTGCACTAATAAGATCCTTACGAAATAACTGAAATTAAATCATCATTAGTAATTTATAAACAATGATAGCAAGAAATGATATAATTCTTGAATAGTAAACATAAAATTGTTTATTAAAAATATTTATTAAAAAATGAATACTTTATTGACAAATTAACTGTGTTGAAAATTAAATGATAACAATACAAATAAAACATAGGTGTGAGAAAACGACAGCAAGATGATTCTTTTATTGTATAGTCTTTTATTTCATGAATTTATATTTACTGTTCTGGCCATTTTATCAAATACAGTAGAGCGTCGTTTATCCGAAAGTTGGTTATCCAAAAGAATTCCAGTCGGCAAATTTAAATTTTCACTAGTGCTGTGGCGCTGCAATCTTTGGCTATATCTTGGGCTACTCCAATAATTTTTTGTTGATGTGTGTTTTTTAGCTGGCACCACTGGCACTTTTGTGTGGTGTTTTTCTCAGGACTGTGTGTCATGCTGAATCGAACATTTTTGATACCGTGTTTCCCCGAAAATAAGACAGCGTCTTATATTAATTTTTGCTCTGAAAGATGCGCTAGGTCTTATTTTCAGGGAATGTCTTATTTTTTCCATGAAGAAGAATTCACATTTATTATTGAACAAAAAACTTCCCAAGTCAAACTTAGACGAGAGTGACGTATATCCGGTCGTGTCAAACTGTCGCTTTTTTATAGCGTCAATATCGGGCTCGATGACCAATTAGTGCTCACTGAACCGTAGCACTATGCAAATGTCATGTGGCATGATTCCTGGCCGACCAATTAGCCATCACCAGCTGTAACATTATGCAAATCTGTGATTCCCAAGCCATAGTTTTATGCAAATCATGCCATGTGGTGTGATTGTCTGCTGACCAATCAGCGGCTGTACTTTCAAAAAGCCAATGGCCACTTTCAACCATCTGTCGATGACCGTTACAAGTAAAAAAAACTTTGCTAGGTCTTACTTTCGGGGGGAGGCCTTATATTTCGCAATTCAGCAAAACCTATAGGTCTTATTTTCAGAGGATGTCTTATTTTCGGGGAAACACGGTACTAGATTAACTTCTAAAGTATAATTTTTTTTGTTTTTATATTTTTCAATATATTTATTTTGTTTGTACAAAATAAAGAAATAATTTTTAACAATACAATAGCCACGATTATTATTTTAAAAAGTTTACATTAGGCTTAACATCGACGAAAATTCAACACAAAGTGACACACAAAGGAGAAAAATTTCAACATGGGATATGTTAATGTACTTTTTCGTGCATAATCAGTTATCCGAAAAATAAGTTATCCAAACAACCCCAGTCCCCAATTGATTCAGATAAGCGATGCTCTACTGTATACATTATGCTTTTATTTACTACTACTTTTAATTATGCCATCACTAGAGTAAAGATTTGTAACTTTCGCATATTGAAGCAGATAAGAAGCCCTTAAATAAAGGTCAACTGTTTGGCTTAGGATAAAAAAAATAATTAACCTTATTTTAATGTATAGTCTTTTATTTTGTGAAAATATGTTTTTATTAATATTTTTATAATATGTAGTGCAAAATAATTAAAATAAACTATAAAAATGTATTAAATTTTTGTTTTAAATATTAAGAAAAATAATCTGACAGCAAATTGTAATCTATTGCTGTATTCAATTACTATTATTATTATCATCACTAAGTGTAGTTAAATTTTTGAAGATTTATGATTTGTCAATATTACATGCACACACATGAAACACTAACTTCTACACAGTATAACAGATTTTTTATGGAAATACAAAGAATTTATTATAAAGAAAATTCATTAAATGGAAAATTCACTAGTACTAAATACAAAAAAAGTGTATTTCCAACATTCTACAAAAAACTGGTTGAGAAGAGAAAACATTATAGCAGTCCAACTATATAAATAATAATAATTATTTGTTCACTGAAAGTCTCAAGAATTCAATATTTCATAAATGAAATATTAAAAAAGACCATTTATAATCAAATGATAAAACCAAATTTAATATTCAGCTATAACTTGAACACAAAGATACTCATATGTAAGTCACTTGCCATTCCATTTGAAGCAATAAAAACACACAAGTCACAATGCCCAGTCATTATGGGATGATCTGTATTGTTAAACCTTCTAAATTAATTGATATGAAAGCAAAGATTGAATGGAAATTCAAAAAATATAATCAGCAATGCATCTGCATGGTAAGAAAAAGTAGATTCATGTCCTGTTCCAGATCAATCTTTTCTTCCAGAATATTCCAAATTAATTCATTGACTTCTAACTATTAAATTTAATACAAAATAGCAACTTAATTATCTATCTTTAATGCAAATTACATAATATCTGTGTACAGTGGGTGATCGATTAACGAACACAATCCGTTCCAAGACTATGTTCGCTATATGAATTGTTTGTTAACCGATTATCAATTTACTATAGGTTTTTATGGGAATTTGATTAATTCATTCTGGACCCAAAACATAAAAAATATATACTTTCTTACTGTTTATTTATATGTAATAATAAAAATACATATATATACAGTCTTGCATTATTATTAGTCATGTTTTTTTTTCATTTGTGGGGGTTAAAGAATCTGTCTAATGTCAATTGCTTTTCTCTCTCCTTCAAGATTTTTCAGAAGTAATTAATAGCATTGTAATTGTACAGATCCCTACGACTATTAACCTCAACCTGGTTTGAATGTCATTCTAACACTGTCATTCTGACATCATCCCACTTCTTCAAAAAAAAAAAAAAAAATGTTCAATAGCAGATATCGACATTAATTTAATTCTCTCTTTCAGAAGAAAACATATCTTGCAGAGTTTCTTGGTGAACTTCATTCAAGAGTTCTTCGCATTCTTCTGTCGTCAGATCCATTTCAGGTTCCATTATGAGCTCTCCAATGTTCTTTATTTCTCAGATGTGATTTTTGTTACTCCTTAAGCTGCTTGAGTCTTCTTGATAATACAGTATCTTTCTTAGATAAGATTTAACTACAGCCTACTGTAGACCTATTCAAGCCATACTGCCAAGCAACAACAGACATCTGCCCACTGTCTACCTTTGCTATTATACTCTCACCTTTCAAAAATAAAAACCAACACAAAACTTAATGACTGCCCACCCGACAGTCTCGCAAATACTAGAAAAATTTTCTGTCAGAAAAATAAAAGACTGGAATTACAAGGGAGAGTTTCAAAGTTCGAAGGAATACTATCCGATCAGTATATATCGGGTTCAGCATTAATATTGACATCTCCCATGCTCTAAAATGTTTCGAATTGTTGTCTGAAGACAAGGGAAGAGCAATCAGTATTCATTATTTTACATCACTTCTTATGTTTGTTCTGTGAGGTGTTCATTATCCAATCATGTGTTCATTGTCCGAACATAAAAATCTTTTGTGAAAGTGTTCGTTATCCAATTTGTTCATTAACTGATCGCCCACTGTATTTAATTAGCTATGTTATAATCAAAGAATGTATCAATCTATATTATTTTATTAATATAATTTCTTCTATATAGACTGTTAAGTTATATACTGATAAAAGACTGTTTGATATATATACAGATATTTAAAAATATACAACTATTATTTTCATTATTCTAACAAATTTTTGAATAAAAAAGTAAAATAGAAATATTCTCATATTAAGACATTAATTTAAAAAGATAAAACACAAACAATTATACAAATCAATTTAGTTTAAAATTCTTAAACCAAACATTAAATATCAGACTTTTTCAAAATGTTTATCATGTTTTAATATTTATGTTATATTCTATATGAAACTAATATTTTTTGAATGTAAAAATTATTTTGCAGAGAAAGAATAGTTTACTTCTGTGGCAATTATCACCTTCTGATATCTTGGAACAAATTACCAAAAAAATAATGTATTCACATTATGTCACATTATGATAATTTCAGAACACAGTGTGAGTGTGTCTCTGGAATAGACTGATATCATCAAATCTATTGTACATATCTCTTAAATATTTTAATAAATCAAAATTAATTCTAGCACAACCTACCACCCAGGCAAATTTTGTAAAGAATTAACTAATTTATAACCTTGTAGTAGACCATAAAACCTAGCAATAATTGTATGTTTGGCTTAGGATAAAAAAAATAATTAACCTTAGTAAAATTTTAAAACATAATATAATATAAAATAATTTGCATATTCAAAATTAATATATAAAATTTAATTATAATCTTACATACCTCCGCTGGTTTATTGCTCTTGAAAGAGCTATTGTAGATTTTAGACAGTGGAAGATCACCACAATATTTCTTGGACAAAGCTAAAAGTAAAACAAGATCACTGTTATTGGAATAAGTTCATACAAAATTCATTAATATCTTACAATCACAAAATATTAAAAACTTTACTATTTACTATCATCATTGTAAGTAAATAAATGAATTACTAAGGATACCTTGCAACTTTGTCATATCATAACAGAATTAAGGCAGTGCATTTTTGCAATTAAAAATTTTTTAATTAGTATTAGTACTAGGGTTTCTTTCCCGGAATTCCGGGAATTTATTCCCTACGAGAAAAATCCCGGAAAAATAAAATTTCTCGCATTTCAATAATAATTTATCATGTCAGGTTTCCTTTCTATTATTTATTATACGAAAAGTTGCATCTTGAATACTCTAAGAGAGAAATTTTGAGGTTTCTTGCTGCATATTATTACCTATGTTTTATAAATCTCTACTTGTTAGTTCATGTAATATCTATGTATTGTGTTTGTGCATCATTGAACAGTGGAGACTTGCTGAAAGTAAATATCACTCATCGCACTTTAGTTCATTTTGTATTTCACCTTTAGAAATAAAATAGTATTTTTTTTTTTTTTCGTAATCATTAAAACTCCCAATGAAACGCTTTATTTTACTTTCATCTTATAATGTAGGAGAACATAAATTAATTGAGCCTAACGTGTCTGTATGGGTGAGATTGGCCCTACACTTTTAGTTACTTACTAGAAAATAAATTAAATTATTCAAATTTATGATTTTCCTGTATGATCTTTTTTATTCATATAAAATTCTATTTTACTATCTCATCCCGGAATTTCCCGGGATCCCAGGAAAGAAAATTATTTTTCCCGTAATCCTGCTGAAGGCAAATTTCCCGGGAAATGAGAAACCCTAATTAGTACATATAAATTATATTTTTCTCCATCTACCTCAAGCACTTCTGTGTGTTTTAATGTGTATATAAGGGCATAAATGTGTGTTTAGATGTGTTTGTGGGAGTGTGTGGGAGTGTGTGTGTGTGTGATCATAAAAAAACAGTTGTTGGCCACATGAGAAGGCAATCCTTACACTCACTGGCCACAGAGAGACAACCCTTATACTTGTCAGAAAGAAAAAGGTGATCCTTACATCTGCTGTGCACAGACAGGTGATCCTTACATTTGATCAGAATAGATTGCTTGTGTTTTGCTCATTTTTGGCACCCATTTTCTTTTAGGCACATCCAATGCTTTTTTAAAAAATTTTCCCCCCTAAATTCCATTAGGCATGCTCAATTGCATCAAGGTGCATGGACATTGTCATTTTGATCCCACTCTATCTCAAAAACAAAATCATGGGCACCTCTTTTTTATTACATTTTTAGATTCTTCATCACAGTTAATGGAAAATGACAAAATTTAATCGAAATCAATTGATCAAATTTGAAAAACAAACACAATCATATATGCCATAAAGAGACTTTACTAATGTTCTGTCCCAACTACTGTGTAAAATCAATATGTATTTTAACATTTACATATCAATTACAACATAAATAATTTTTAAATTATGTAGGCTGTTTTTTCTTCAACCACCAATAGTCCATAAAAAAAAAATAAGTGTAAATAACAAAATGAATTTATTACCAAAAGTTAGCTACAAACCTGGTTACTTTTCGACATAATCACCGTGAAGATTGAGGCATTTGTCATACCTGTGGACAAGCTTTTCCATTTCCTTGTCATAGAATGTTGCCGCCAATGACTTGAGATGGGCCCCAACATTGTTTTAAAGATCGTCATTAGTCTCAAATCTCTGCCCTTCTAACCACATTTTCTGTTCAGGAAAAAGGTGGAAGTCGCTTGGCGCTAAATCAAGGCCATACACTGGGTGTTTAAAGGTGGTGAAGACTTCCACCCAGCTTGGAACTTTTCAATGTGTGAAGATTTCCACCTCTTTCCTGAACTAAAAACGTGGCTAGGAGGGCAGAAGTTTGAGACTAATGATCTTCAAAACATCATCGTTAAGGCCATATCAATTCAGTGGCAGCAACATTCTACGAAGAGGAAATTGCAAAGCTTGTCAATAGATATGACAAATGCCTCAATCTTTACGATGATTATGTTGAAAAGTAACCAGGTTTGTAGCTAATTTTTAGTAATAAATTCATTTTGTTATTTACACTTGTCTTTTTTTTTATGGATCATTGGAGGTTGGAAAAAAACTGCTCTCATATACAAATTTATCTGCATTCCATGTTGACTTCCTTTTCTCCATATAACTTGCTAATCCAAACAATCCTGTTCAATTTGGATTAGTGAGAGTGCACTATATTTTCGTTAAAATAGCATTTTAAAAATCACTAGCACAAAAATTCTTTAATACAAGACAAGCATTTATTTATAAACAAAAACAGACAATAACATATGGATTTAGACATCGATGAAAGTCATACCAAATAATGAAAGCATGCATGCAATTTAAATGAAACATTCCAGATACTTTTTGGTCACAGTAGTATGTTTAATTCAATTCTTTCTTGTCATAAGAGTCAATTCAACACAAAGAATAATAAGTTGATTCACTTAATCCACAGTACAATTCTAAACTTCTATTTGAAAAAAATATTTTTGCTTAGATACACAATTTAAGTAAAAGCATTTTTTTCAAATAAAAGTTTGGTATTGTATTGTGGATTATGAGAGTCAATTTATTATTGTTTATTTTGAACTATTTGAAACACATTCATCAAAGTTTTCAAAATCAAAACAAAGATCAACTAAATGACAATTATAAGAGATTCTTATATTAAATACAAGAATTCCTTATAATTGTTATTTTGCAAACAATATTCACATATTTTATTACAAAAAATGACTTACGTGTTCCTTTTCCATCATTATCTTCACTTCCACTATGGCAATGTCGCCGTTTCTTTCCAGTAGAACCTAAAATAATGAGATTTCTATCTTATTAAATTTTATATTATATTACATAAACTTATAAAATTTATAGTTTTTAATAACTATTAAAATAAACAAATAAAAAAAATGATATAGTAATACAATATAAACTACTAATTATTAAAATTAACAACATATAGTTGTGCGAGATCTGCAATTTTACACGTGTGTCGGAAATTTGAATTTGCCCGAGGAATTTGTAAACAAATTTGACAGCAAAAGAATCCTGGGAAGAATTACAACAGAGATTACAATTAGTCATAACAATCTGATGGGAAAATTAGCTCATAAGTGTCAACTTGGTACCGTAACCGTCAACATTGGACGAACACGTGATACTTTTTCTCACGACAAGGGGATAAAAGAGAAAGTCATCAGAAGCTCGGGGGAGCAATTAATCAGGACGTCAATCAATAGTTGTGTGCATTTTCATCTCCTGGACCTCCATAACCCAGACTGGACCAAGAAGAGGAGAAGACACCAGTTGGAAACCCATCCGTGACAACGAACCGTCCATATGAATGAAGCTCTCCACATCGACTCTCCAATATGCCTGAGAGGTATTTAAAAGGGAGCTGAAACTTGTAAACTCTCTCTCTACAGAAAGTGCATTAGAATAGGGAAATTAGGTTGAGCATGCGTTTCGTAAAAATTTATTGTTCACATTCGTAACCACATTTATTCACTTCAGTTTGTAACCACATTTATTTGCTTCAGTTTGTAACTGCATTTATCCATTTATAGATCTGTACATTCTAGATTTAGTTTATAATAAATTTTATATATTGGTTATGTTAAAACCTGTCTTTTGTTTGTCCATGGACCCCTGCTGATTTACCGATGCACTCCCCACTTGATTTGCCCTCCTAGCCATCCAACAACCTCGAGATCGGGTTTTACCAGCCCGTGCAGATCAAGTGGTCAGAAGGGATTAACCCCTGACCCCCTGCTTATCTCACAGATGTATAATATTTTTCATAAAGAAAAACATTAATCTAGTAATTTGTTTTTGAATTAGAAAGTCATCAATATCAAAAGCTAAGAATATTTACTTTTAATAAAATACAGAGAAAGCTGTTATTAATCTATAACTATAAAACCTAATTTAGAACTATTTTGTGCTAAGTGATTAAAAAATATCTGGCAAATTTTCAAAAATATTGTTGCTGTAGATGATATTTAGAACTTAATTATTTTAATTTTAAAAATAATATATATGTTAACTGAATATATTCCAGAACTCGTAGCATAATTTAATAAACTTTCAATAAGTAAGTTATAGTTTGTTATATTAAATATTAGAAAATAAATTATCCTAATTCTTTGATTAAGCTTATTTGACTAATCAGTAACAACTTGATATAAGTGAAAAAAATGTGTTTGTTAACAACCACATGATTAAGTGTATCAAACATCCCAAAGCTCAATATATATAGATACAGAACCAAATGACTCCTTAAATAATCAGCTATACTGTAAATCCACTATTTATTGAATGAATACTAAGTAATTTGTTACTAGAGGTACACATTAAACAACATCTCTTATCTAAATTAATAATTATAGTTTTAATAATTTATTAAATAATTTTAGAATCACCTGGAAGAAAAGAACTGGCCAGGGATGGGGCTTGAACCCACAAACTCCATTTGCCATGTGGTGCACTTGCCATTTGTGCCACCCAGACCCCAAACAAGCCTTCGCTTCCAGATGTATTTAAAAATTTAGATATAACCTTATGTGGTTAATCACAGCACTGGCTGGGGACAACTCCTATGCTCACAGCCTAAGTACATCTCCATCATGGCACTCAGCCAGCTAATGCTTTACCCAGAGGTATATATATATACCTCTGGGTAAAGTATATATATGTATATATATAAGTATGAAGCCCAATATATTTAGATAAATAACCAAACAATTGCCTTAAATGACACCTAATATCTATCTCTAGAAACAAATTACTTAGTATTCAATCATTAAATAGTGAATTTATAGCATGATTATTTAAGGCAATCATTTGGTTATGTAATCACATGATTGTTATTTCTATCATAATTATTTAAAACAAAAATAGAAATTGGAAATAATACCTTTGGAATCAAAATACTGATTTCTTCCTTTTGAAGCAGATGTAGATGCCATTTTCTACTTAAGCAATAAAAATATTCTCTCTGAAATAAAGCATCAATACACAAATAAATATTTTGTAATTATTATTAAATTCAAAATATTTTGAAATATTTTTTTTCCCTCAAACATTTGTTTCAGATTATTATATACACATATAAACACACAGTATAATTTTACTTATTTAATGTAAGCATAATTGGAAATACATTGAATAGTCAAAATATCAAATAATGTAGAAACGAAATAAAATATACATTATAAACAAAAATTATCTATTTATTTAAAAAGTATTGGCTAAAATTTTATGGAAAACTACAATTTCTTATAACAACAAACTATTACTTAATCTGATTCATCTATAACTTATATGCTTCTGTATAATCTTTCAAACTATCTATTGTAAATTTAGTTTTTCATTCTTTTCTCATAGAAATGTATTTAAATCATAATAACTATTAATACACAAAAATAAATGGATACATTCTTGTTGAGTCAATTGATTTTTTTAATATCTGCAACTGTTGATCAGTACTGTTTTTAAATGCTGTAATTTTAGTGAAATTGTGAATCAAGAATTAAAATGAATTTCTTTTTATAAGAATTCACTAAAGTGTATCCAAATATACATATATTTAGAATTAAATTTAAAAAAAAAACAAAAAAATTTTGTATATTGGTTTAGACAATCTAAATTATTAATCACCATAAATAATATTAAATCTTAAATCTCTTAAATGCTAGATATTTCCAGGGATGCAGAATATTATCAAAACCAAAAATTTCACCAAAAATTATTGAAAATTAGTACACGAAATAAAACAATTAAATACTGTTTTTATACATTTATACAATTTATTCGGTCACTTTACTGAGT